TGAAAGTAGAAAGTAGAAAGTAGATTGAAGTTCTTGCCGGTATGACTAAACCTTCCTCGCTTCATGTTGTTCTCCTTTCACCCCCAGCTTCATACATCTCTAAACAAACATTCACTTATTTACATCTGTATTGTGTAAAATAAATTAGTAACAGTTGGCATCATGTATAGCTGAAGTGCCACACAATATATTGGAAAGTTGACAAAACTTTAAAACTTAAAATCAATAAGTTGATTGTGAAAACATCTAAAGTACAGGAACAATAAATCAAATGCAACCTACCAGGAAGGGGTGAAGCTATAAAAATATCTGTTGATTTAATCTCAAACAATCACAATATGTGCTTGGAAAAGCCAGAAAGATATTTAAACTCAAAAACAATGTGGCACATTAATAAAGCAATACATAGAAATATCTATCTAATATCATTAGAAATCAGTACATTGTTTTATTTCCGAAATTCTTTTTTTTTCACCAAACTTAAGCCAATCACAAAATGTGGCCATAACAGATAATAAAGTAAATTACCATAGTTTGGCAGAGAACAAGTCTAAGTAGTACGATTAAAACTGAACATCATGAAACATCACAGACACTATTTTGTCTGTCGTTTTACTTTGAAGGTTTCTGCAAGAATCAACTGCCAGCACTCGATATCAGTCGGCTGCAGCAGGAGTTGACTTCATCAGTAACATAACAGTTTGGGACAGGCAGCAGATGTTGATGCAGGTGTCATAGCTATAACTGCATAAATAATTATGAAATGTAACATTATGATTAACAGTGGCTGGGTTGCGGGAGGGTGAAATAGGAGGAAGCGTCCTCCCATTAGAGACGTTGCGTGTATGAACGAGGCACAGCAGTGTCTTCATTCATTATTTAAATCACTGACACGCTCACATAGTTAATGTTAACTAGAATATTTGTTCATTGTTGCGGTTGCAACTTCCTGATAGGGACAGATAATTGTCCCGATAAAGTAACTGGAAGCTGGTGTAATGTCCTCCTGGTTCTTGTTCGTCCACCCTGCTCAAGTTGAAGGTCTGACAGAGAGTGATCTCTGATCTAAATCCCTGTTTTAATGAATTAAATTGGTTCTCATTTACAGCGTCTTATGATAAGCAGCTGTGTGATCAGCTGTATTGACTGGTTGATATAAAATAATTGATCACGGATCAAATTGTTGGGTTTGTTGTGAAAGTCTGAAGAGTTTTTTGCTATATAATATTCTTTATCAGCGTTGTTGGGAGTGAAATTTAATTTTGATCCATGATTTGTATAATTCAAGGTAAATCACAGGTACTACACTTATAATCTGAACATGGAGAAGATAAAATATGTTGAACTCAATTTGAAACCATATGTGGAGAATTATTACCAACAATAAAAACATTAAAACATGAACTATATATTGGCAGGTGGACAATAATAACACGTGTAACTTGATGATTAGAAATTGGTCACAATCTTAAGGTCCTCATCATAATATAATAATAAAATAATAAAACATTAATATACTTGATAAAGACAAACTGTATTCAAAGAGTCACATGTTTATGTTCCTAATATTTCATGTACTTTAATGAAGTTGATAAGATTCTTGCTTCAGCTGAGTAATCTCTCAACCCTAAAGTATCTGCAAATGACTGCCTGCAGGCTAAAGTAATCACTAGCAAAATACTGTCTGAGTGGATATGTGAGTTGGCTAACGTTAGCTTCCCCAGCTAACGTGATCCATGATAGTAACTTATGTATTTTATATACTTATGTATATGCTAACAATAGCTTTCTACTAGCCAAGAGTGATGTGAGGCAGGAACATACTCTTACATGGTGTAAGAACATTAAAGATATAGTAAGACGTTCTAAATATGATTTGAATCTGTTTTACAGCATTCACTGTTTATTTCAACGTCTGGTCTTGTGTATGTCCTGTCACTGTTTTTGCTGATTTGCAGGACTGTTGCGGTTAATTTTTTTTGCTAATTAATTTTTTAAAGGGAACAGCAAGATAAAGTTTAATGCAGTTTAACCTGCACTCTCCGACCTCCTGCCTCAGAAAGTCTGCACACTGAAAGTCACCAAAAGCAAACTCCAAACTTGGATAATTAGCAGACCAGTCGCTGTTTTCTATTGTGACACTGCTGGTGTTCGCAGTCGGGAGGTTTTCCAGAATGAGTGAGACATAGGTTGTGTGAATGTCTCCTGTGCTATAATCCTGTGAACTGAGGGATACTCAGACGGCCGTCCACTAATCAGAAGGTTGTAGGTTCGATCCCTGGCTCCTTGAGCGAGATACTGAACCCCAAATCTCTCTAGATGCTGCGTCATCAGTGTCTGAATGTGAATGAATGACTTAGTTTGGACTTAGTTGACTTTAGCCATCACTGAGTGAATGTGTGTGAAAGGGTGAATGTGGCACGTAGTATAAAAGCGCTTTGAGTGGTCAAAAGACTAGAAAGTCACTATACAAGTACAGGTCCATATAACATTTAACATTTACTGAGTAGCAATGCATTGCAGACAGTGTGTCTGCTGTGTCAATTCTCTTCATCTTCGCCACTCTGGGACGCTTTCCCGTCTTAAATACTGAACATGATGTCACATACAGTGGCTTTACACTCCCCCTGTTGACTTCTGAATAGTTTTTCTCATTATTGTGATCCGACCGATGCTTGAAGCTAACTTAAGACCGCTACCTACGGCAGAGCTGTCCCTGTTTGCCACCAGGTAGGCTCCGCCCACAAAATAAGTCATGTTGTTTACGTTATGGTTATGGTTAGTCTACAGGAAATGAATGTAATATGTAATGTCCCCAGAAGTGACATAAGTAAATCTGTGTTTGTTCATTCTCATTTTTGTTACCTATTGGGGACCTTAACTTTTATACATACTGACCTTGTCAGGACCAGTAGTCCTCATGGGGACAAAGACCGGTCCTAGTGTGGCAAAACATAATTTGTTAGGTCCTGGTTAGGAAAAAATGGTGCCAGTACTGTAATTCTGTGCAACCCTAACCACAACATAACCGTAACCCAATTTTTTTTTTTCTCAGCTTTAAGCTAGCTGTGGTTTTACACCGAGACGCAGTGATCCACTACTCTCTCCTCATGCCTAAACGTCACTAACCAAACCAACAAAGGCAACAAACACCAACCCATGCAGTCAGCGTGGGGGGTCTTCACGGAATAAAAATAAAGTGTTACGTTTGTGTTTATGTGTGCGTGTCACCAGGAGGTGGCAGCAGGGACGTTTCCAGACACTTTTGACCGAGGGGGACATGAAGTTTGTGTCTCAGCTTTCCATCACTCCCAATTTCTCCAATTCCAACAGGAATATTATGGAGCCCAGTATGAAGAAATATTAAAATACACTAAAATAACACATTTATACTGCATCCAAACAACTGCATGGGATTATCATAAAGTGTCTGCAAAGGGGAGACTCCATTTTCATTCAGATATCTTGAGCTCAGAGTTCAGGGGATCTGTTTGAAAATGGACAGTTTTTTTAATAGCCAAAATGTTGCCTGACTTGGACAATTCCCGACACGCAAAGTGACAAAAGTACACACATTGTTTACTCAAGCAGAAGTACAAATACTGCTAAAGAAAATACATTAAAAGTAGTTTTACTAAAGTAAAAGTTAAAAAGTACTGTTAGTTTCTCTGAAGGACATTTCTACTGGCTGTTTCTGTGCAAACCTAACTGAGTCTCATTCTTGTCTGTTTTGTTGTTTTCTATGTTTTCATCATGTTAATGTCTTTCATGAGTGATGTGCACCGACCTTGATGTTGGAAAGTTGTGCAATGATGCAAAATATGAATAATATATTTAATTCAATTTATTGTCCTCCAAGGGGGAAATTCATGTCCACATCACTGCACCTGCAGGTAACACCATACACTCAACAAAGAAACACGCTATCCACAATAAACAAATCCACAAAGAAAAACTAACAAACAAGTAAATAATATATGATGTTACACACTCAGCGCGCCCCTTTGTTTAAAGCAGCAATAGCTGAAGGGATAAGGCTTTTCCCATAGCGAGGTTTCTTGCACCTCAATGTTCGGTACCTCCGTCCAGAAGGCAGTGGGGTGAGATACTGGTTGAGTGGGTGTGTAATGTCCAGTTCTATTGTGGCTGCAATGTGTGAGATGGCCCCGTTGTTTAGTTCTGTGAGATTGGGTGTGGGGAGTCCGACTATCTTGGCCGCTGTGATGGTGACAGCATGTTGCAGAAACAGGAGGAGCAGTATATGAGGATGGGCTGGATGACACTTTGATACAGTAGTAGGAGAAGATGGGGGAAACATTAAGATAGTTCCCCTAAAAGGCTTTAAAACTAAAGTAACAAGCCTGTTTTGAAAATGTAAGAAGTAGAAAGTTCAGTAAAATATATATATTTATGTAAAAAAGGATAAAAATGTTTGTTACTTCCCACTTCTGCACTTGGGGTGGCCAATCAGATTTCAGGGGTGGCCCGTGCCCCACCATGACAGTGGTTTTCTGTGCAATAGATAAAAAATAAATTCCTTTAAAATGCTGTTTAAATACCAGTTTGGCTGTAAGATATCACAGTGTTTTACAGAAACTTATCCAACCTACTTATACTGTCATTGTTTGATGGCTTTTTTACTGTACAATCCACAGACATGTTTTTACAGTATAGGCTGAATGAAGTCCTAACAAGGATAGCTGCACAAACCTGTGTGTGTGTGTGTGTGTGTGTGAAATACTTTATTGATCCCTGGTGGAAAATGTGTTTGTTACATTTGCTCAAGGTATTAAAGAAATAGAAATAATAATATAGAACGGGACAATGATGCATTATATAACAATATTTAACAAAAGACAATGTAAAATGAAACAAGTATAAAGAGTATGACTTGTGTACATTATAATAGAATAAATGACTTATGTATAATGAATAATAGTGAATATTGCACAGTAATCAGAGGTGTGTACGCATGCGTGCATGGTGTGTGTGTGTGCGCGTGCGCGTGCATTAAGGCTGGATGGAGGGAGACCCCTGTGACGTCAGAGATGGAGAAAGGAGGAGGGGTGGCTCGTGAAGGTTTGGAGATGGAGGAGTGACCGTGATGACGTCCACACAGAGAGAGAGGAGGGGGCGTGGCCGTGTGCGTGACGTCACCCTCAGCAGCCGCTTCTCCTTTTAAAGCCGCCGGTCGGACAGACAGACAGGCAGGCAGACAGACAGGCAGCAGGAGGACTTTAAATACCTCGGATCGGCTCTACCGGGACATTTGACAGCCGACTGGACGTTCAGCTCTCTCTCTCTCTCCTCTGATGGAGCAACAATTCCTCTGCAGGCTGCACCGCCCGCCCGCCGCCCGCCGCCGGGACTGATAGCTGTGCGCCGCTCGGTGTCCACCGGCAGACTCCCGCTGACCGTGTCTCCGTGCTCTCCGTCCCCTCCGTCTTCCAGCAGGCCGCCGTCTCCTCCGTGACTCTCTGTTCCCATGCGATTCTTCAGACTCACATTCAAGTGTTTCGTGGATTGTTTTTGAAGGTCGCCGTCAGATCGTCGGTGAAATTCCCTTTAGTTTTTATTTTCACACCTTTTTTTATTTTACAATCTTCTCTCTTATTTTCGATTCGAGAAAGAAATGTCTCCAGATTATTACTAGACATTTTGAATTTGTGTCCTATTTTTTATTTATTAATTAATTCATCCGGATAAAATTGGATTATTAAATAAAACAACAGATTCTGGATCAACCGGCTCCGGCTGATCCACGATCAGCTCGCAGAGGACAATAATAATAATAATAATAATAATAATAATCACATGTATTATTACTGAAGCAGAGCAAGGATAACGGAGGCAGCAGAGATCTTAAAGCTGAACGGGACAGAGCTGGACCTGCTGCTGACTGACTGACTCATCTGTTTCTGACTGGGTGGAAACTGGTGACTGACTGGTTTCTGACTGGTTTCTGACTGGTGACTGACTGGTTTCTGACTGGTGACTGACTGGTTGTTGGGACTCTGAGAGGAGCTGAACACAAGGTGAGAAGGAGATTCTGGGATTTAAAAGTTTCTAAAGAGACAAAAATCTGGAAAATTAAAGGAAAAATCTGACTGCTTATTGCAACTAGTGCTGACCTCTGCTCTGACTGGTTTCTAACTGGTTCCTGACTGGTTTCTGACTGGTTCCTGACTGGTTCCTGACTGGTTTCTGACTGGTTCCTGACTGGTTTCTGACTGGTTTCTAACTGGTTTCTGACTGGTTCCTGACTGGTTTCTGACTGGTTTCTAACTGGTTTCTGACTGGTTCCTGACTGGTTTCTAACTGGTTTCTAACTGGTTCCTGACTGGTTTCTGACTGGTTTCTAACTGGTTCCTGACTGGTTTCTGACTGGTTTCTAACTGGTTCCTGACTGGTTTCTGACTGGTTCTGACTGTGAGTGATGGAGAAACAGGCCCTGCCAGCCTCCTCCTGCTCTCTGGTTCTCCTGGAGGAGACCAAGAAGAACCCCCTCCTCCTGTCTAATGGCGGCGGCGGCGGTTACTCCCCCGGAGCCGCTAACGGTAGCCTCGTCCCGCTAGCGGTGGCGGGGTCCGGCAGTGCTTGCGCTGGACCGGACAAGAAAGCGGGCGTGGTGACGGGGGCGGGGCCAGGATACCAGGAGCGGGAGACGTGGACTCGGCAGATGGACTTCATCATGTCCTGCGTGGGCTTCGCTGTCGGACTCGGCAACGTGTGGAGGTTCCCATACCTGTGCTACAAGAACGGAGGAGGTGAGGCGCAACACACACACACACCTGGACAACATATCAGCTGTCACCACGCCCCTTCCCTGGCTGAAGCCACGCCCCCTCTCCTATTAGCCATTACCTTAGTGTGTTTTCTTAAAGAGTTCAGTGAGCTGGTCTGATCGTAACTCAGTGTTCACTTCATGAGCAGAAATCCTCGTCTCAGCCTCGGGAATATCAGGAATGTTGTCTTGTGCATCGTTGGCAGTTCTTTCTGATTTTGTGAATATTTGTGAATATTTGTGGCTCTGCAGTCACATTTGATCTATTTGATCTTTTTTTACACACGTTTTAATTTGGCTATTTCGGCACATTGGTTTTATTGTGTATTTTAAAGTATATTCTCAGTAATTTCTACTGCTCACCCCTGTTACAAAACAAACAGTGTCCATTCAGTTTCACTGCGTTTGAGCACCGAGCATCATCGCTGTAAACACAGACTCCGCCTCCTCTCGTCCTGTGCTCGGTCGGCTCCGAACACAGTCCACTGGTCGAATGTTGATCCGGGTTGTTGAGGGAGCAGGTCTCTATAACAGTAAATCCTAGCTGGGCCAACCTGTCCCGGGTCTCTTCCTCTCCTCTTGGGGCTGATCTGGCTCAGAGGTCTTGGCTCTTTAATCCAAACCTCACGCGTCCTTTTCTGATGACTGTAGACTGTTTCTGAATAAAACTTTATTTAAAATGACATTGTACCAACGCTAACTGCAGGAATACTGAATGAGAGATTGTATGGAGTCACAGCAGCAGGAAGAGAGAGAGGGAGAGAAGAGATACTGTTACTTGCACTGATGGCTTTTACCAGACTCTCTCTTTGTGTGTGTGTGTGTGTGTGTGTGTGTGTGTGTGTGTGTTATCTTGTCTCTCAGGTTCATTGAGTTTTATGACTCACAGTCTGACGCCTCTGTATGAATGCTGACTGTCAAAACTCTCTTTGTATGATGGACTTTTATATCATCCTATATCCTTTTTTTAAAATGCTACTTGATGGTTCCCATCTGTTCATTCTTACTTACGTTATAATAAGAAGTCTATTTACTGCCCTGTTCAGCTTTCCTTAGCTTCCAGCTCCATCCTATATCTATCTCTCTCTCTATATATATCTTAACTTTGTACATCTAACTCCAATTGGTACAGCTTATATTGAATTTAGACTAAAAGGTAATTTTTCAGCTCTAATATCTAATTTCACCCCAATTTTACATTTGTTGTACCACAGAGCATTTAACCTTCACACTGCGCACAAATCTCTCATAAAATTCTAATAAACAAACAATGAGAACAACAAACAGGAGACTAAACAGTGAAAAGCGGAAGAGGATATAAAATAGCAATAATGTAAAACTACAAGAAACAAACAAACAAAGAGAGTTACAGGATATAAGATGCAGGACTTTGTCATAAACACGTGAATAGTTAACAGTTGAGGGAAGAAGTTTGTTTTTAATATTTAACTGCAGTTTTATGATTAAAACTTGTTTCTGCTGTGGATCATTGACTCACTGAGAGCTCTCTCACATGGTCTAAAACTAAAGTATTCAGCTCCTTTACAATACCATAATGAACAAACACTCTTTTACATGTAAAAGTCCTTCGTACATAAAGTGTCTGAAATCTGAATGTATTGCCTTCTATAAAGTCGAATGCATGTTGCAAAGTTTTTTAGGCATTTTTTTGCAATTGGTTGCAGGAGAAAGTGAAAATAAAAAAATATTTTGTTGCATAATTCATTAAAAATCGAAGGCATGACAGATCTCTTGCAGTTCGGTGACGTATCGCTCCACGCTCTGTGTGGCTGTGATTGATGAAACCCCTCTCTCCCCTCTACAGCTGTCATTATCAATTAAAGGCAATAAAAGAAACAGAAAATAACTGCTTACCTGAAAAGGTCTCGTTCACACAGTCGACCAGTTTCAGCTGGACGGAGAGGAGATGGGAAAGGTCTGGATGTTCACACAGAGGCAGGAGGAGGAGGAGGAGGAGGAGGAGAAGGTCAGACTTGAGTTAAATCACAGAGAACCAAGAGGAAAGGTTCAGTTCTCACATTACAGACACACACTGATGTCCTGGTAACTGACTCTGTGTCAGTCTGTAAAGGTCACCTCCTTCAGTCCGACTCAGCTCTTCGCACCTGATTTATCAAACTCACTCTTTAAAGGAGCATTCTGGTGTTTCTGGACCACATTAGCATTTAACATTAGTTCGTTGTTGGAGGGAGAAAATGTGTTTTCAGAGTTAAATAAAGACAAAATGTTCTGGATAGAAGTCCAGGCACTGTGTGTGTGTGTGTGTGTGTGTGTGTGTGTGTGTGTGTGTGTGTGTGTGTGTGTGCGTGCGTGTGTGTGTGTGTGCGTGTGTGCGTGCGTGCGTGTGTGTGTGCGTGTGTGTGTGTGGCCTGTCCTTGGTAGGGTGACTGCAGTAGTAACACTGCAGGATAATAAATCTGAGTGACTCTGTAGGGAGGAGGACGTGACACAGAAGGAGGGAAGTGTGTACAACACACATGTTGTGAACCAGCAGCTGAGAGGTCAAAGGTCACGACTGTTCATCAGCAGGTGAAAACACACAGTGAGTGTGTCAGAAACATTTATATCTGTCAACTGTAACCACAGTTCTATATGGAGCTGATTCAATCAATAATCTATAATCAATAACAGTGTATAAACTCTAGAGCTATGTTCTATATGGAGCTGATTTAATCAATAATCTATAATCAATAACAGTGTATAAACTCTAGAGCTATGTTCTATATGGAGCTGATTTAATCAATAATCTATAATCAATAACAGTGTATAAACTCTAGAGCTATGTTCTATATGGAGCTGATTCAATCAATAATCTATTATCAATAACAGTGTATAAACTCCAGGGAACTATTTGCCTGTAGTTGGCTCAGTATTGATCAGTCCTGCAGGTAAACAGCTGATTGATCTGATTGATCTGATCAGGAGTTCATGCTCTACTGCACGTCTCCACGGCAACGAACCTCTGCTTGGGTCAAAGGTCAAGGCTGAAATTAGAGTCAGTGATTATGTTCAGAGCTATTATTAGGGTCAGGGTCAAAGGTCAAGGGACAGTGTGTGTGTGTGTTTGTGTGTGTTTGTATATCTGTGTGTGTGTGTGTGTGTGTCTGACTGGCTGCCAAGTGTGACATCATCATCCCGTCACCACGTGGACCAGAGATTAAACAGAGTGGCCTGTAATCTTTTAATCCTGTTGACAGACCTCACTGCTCCTCCTGCTCCTCTCTTCCTCCTCTTCCTCGTCTTCCTCGTCTCCTCCTCCTCTTCCTCTGTGTTCATACACTGTATGACCCCTGCCAGCCCATCACATTGGTCAGAAAGGTCTTTGATGGGTTACAGGAGTCCTGGAGGAGGTCCCAGCAGACCTTCTGGGGGGGGTTCTAGAGTCAGAGTGAGACTGAGGAAGGAAGTGTCACATACGAGAAATAAAATAGACTCTGTGGTTGAACACGGCGGTCGTTGTTTCTGTGTGCACTTCCTGTTTCCTCTCTGCAGATGACTGACAGTAAACTGGTTGAAGACCATTAGTGATCAATGATCTGTTGACCCGGGTCACAGTCTGATCCACAGTCTGATCCACAACAACAACTATTATTATTATTATTATTATTATTAACAGGATTCTTCAGTGAGCGGAATGTGGACTGAATACAGAATATAAAATGTGTGTCTTTGTTGTGTTGCTGCATTAAAGGAACAATTCACTGCTGCTTTCTGTCTGAGAGGGCTACAGACAGGGTTAGGGTTAGGGTTAGGGGGTTAGGGTCCCCACACAGAGAGAGGAGAGTAGGTGGGTGAGGGGCGTTTAGGCTTCAGTCGCAAAGGGTAGGAGCTATAAAGAAGGTCCTGATGAAGATACAAATAACAGTCCTTATTGTCATTTCACAGTATGTACAGAATTTACAGACATTATATATACACATTAAACATTATATATATACATTAAACATTATATATACACATTAAACATTATATATATACATTAAACATTATATATATACATTAAACATTATATACACATTAAACATTATATATATACACATTAAACATTATATATATACATTAAACATTATATACACATTAAACATTATATATATACATTAAACATTATATATATACATTAAACATTATATACACATTAAACATTATATACACATTAAACATTATATATATACACATTAAACATTATATATATACATTAAACATTATATATACATTAAACATTATATATATATATACACTAAACATTTTATATACATTAAACATTTTATATACATTAAACATTATATATACACATTAGACATTATATATAGACATTAGACATTATATATATACACATATATACACATTAGACATTATATATACACATTAAACATTATATATACACATTAAACATTATATATACACATTAAACATTATATATACACATTAGACATTATATGTACACATTAAACATTATATATACACATTAAACATCATATATACACATTAGACATTATATATATACACATTATATATACACATTAAACATTATATATATACATTAAACATTATATATACACATTAAACATTATATATACATTAAACATTATATATACACATTAGACATTATATATATATACACATATATACACATTAGACATTATATATACACATTAGACATTATATATATACACATTATATATACACATTAAACATTATATATATACATTAAACATTATATATACACATTAAACATTATATATATACATTAAACATTATATATACACATTAAACATTATATATACACATTAGACATTATATATACACATTAAACATTATATATACACATTAGACATTATATATACATTAAACATTATATATACACATTAGACATTATATATATATACACATATATACACATTAGACATTATATATACACATTAAACATTATATATACACATTAGACATTATATATACACATTA